TGCTTGAACAGTTTTAAGTTTAGTAAACATATATGATGGAAGCCAATTGCAAGAAAGAGCTGAGAAAATGATTCTTACAGTTTTAAGATGATGTGGTCCAAATGTTTGGCTTCCACCATCTTTTGAGTTACATCGTTTGATCTGATTGTTCTAATCCATGGGCTATCACAGTTCAGTTTAGTGTTGAGTAATTTCATAAATCATGTTCATGTACTGGTCCCTCTGTTCTTTCCAAGAATGTGTGGCTTTGATGAATAAACAACAGTTTATAACATGTTTGCTTCTATCTCATGTACATCCAAAATTATAAAATCTCAATGTTGCACAAACTCAGCGTTTCACCATGTGTATTGTCTTGGCTTGGACTGCATTGGTTTTGCCCGTCTTTACTCTGCTAGACTGAGAAGGAGAAGTCTCCTCAACGTGGGATTCTGCAATTTTTCTTTTGAAACAAAGTTTATCTTATTTTGCTTAATGAGGTCAAGAAAGTAGGGCTGAAGGTCCCTCCTGATAGCATGTGGGGAGCTGTGTAGGCTTCTCTGTGACCCCAGTTTGTAGCTAAAGATGCAGAAAAGCAGACCTGGGGTGGATACATTTTGTTCACAGGCACAGTTGGTCACTGGGTCCTCCAGTAGACGTGTTATGGGTGAAAACTCAGAGTATAGGCAACATTTACCCCCTTTTAAATTGCAAAAAATGATATTATCAGCAAAGCAGCCACATCTAACTTTAGCAGTCAAAGGGAAAAGGAGACGCTTGGCAGCTTGCAATGGCTTTCCTTTTCAGTCTTTGCAGTAATGGAATTGGCTCAAACTGGTTCACCAGAGCCAATTAATTGTACACATTTCTTCCCAAACCCATGTTCATTGACATCATATTGGTAACTTAAAATTGGCCATTTGGGGAGTAATTTATACCACAGAAGTTGGCAAATGTTGCAAATCAGGACTTGGATTTTTTTTTTTTTTTTTAAATCTTCAGAGGACCAGTTGTTAAACATTTACCATCATACCACTGGTTTTATATCTAATTTGTTATTTCCTTTGATAACACATCATGAAACTCCTCCTCAAAATAGCTAATGTTTATTAATTATATGAGCTGAACACTGTGCCAAGATACTTCACATGTGTTTTTATTTAATTCTCACAACAACCTCATGAGATCTAAGGTCTCAGCTTGTGGTTGAAGGATGCTGAAGATGCACAGATTTTCTCACGTAAAACCTACAAATAAGGAAACCAGAGCTCAGCAAAGTGATAAAACTTTTTCTGAGATTACACAGCATGCAAGTGGTAGATTTTGGGTTATAATTTCTGGATGACTCATGTTTTTAACCACATGCACTATGGTCTTTCCTCACATAAGTTTGGTAGAAATCTGTTCCGGGCTCAAAATCATGATGTCTTGGTTCTAGTGTACTCTCTGCACCCAGTTTGACATCTGATCTCTCTGAGCCTCAGTGTCTTCATCTATAAAATAAAGGAACTCTACCTATCTCAGAGGATGGTTTTACCACTTAAATAATAGTATACAACAGATTTATTTGGAAAGCTCAATGACTATATAAATGAGAGATAACATTACAGGCTAAATTAAATATAGACACACACACACACACACACACACACACACACACACACACACACTTCCAGTGTGGAAGATTTGGCCGAAGTGAGTAATTTATATAAAGGCAGATTCTGAGGACTCTAACCATACATATTACTGAGTAAACTGGCAGGATGTTGGGCTTGGCAATGTCTGAATTATCTCTGGAATTCTTTGGCTTTAGCGTTCTATAGCCTTCCCAGACAGTCTGACTGGTAATCAAGGTAGCACTAATCTCATGAGCAGATTTGGATGGTGGGTGCCTTCCAGGAATCAATTTATTAACAAGACAGGTCAGTGCTGGAACATTGATATTTAGTGACTTTAGGGAGAATTTCTGCTATGTTATGTCCATGTTTTAATGAAGAGGTCCTTTTGCTGCTCCCATAGCTATTTATACATTCAGTAGTCAGCATATTCCATTGTTATTTATTTCAGGTTTATTTTCTGCACTATGCTGAACTCTCCATGATATATAACTATTTGATCACTATTGAATCTCTAGCACCAAGTACTGAGATTGGCAGATAGTATTGCTTTGTAATATCTACCAAACTTGCAGTTGCATAGGTGAGCTAATTTAGTCTGTTTCTGTACACTTATTCATAAGAGATCCTCATTTATCTTAACTACCTCTCATTCCATTAATTTGCTGAATTGATGAACAAGTATGTATTACTGTTTCATACACATCTTAGACAAATCTACGAAGCCTGATCTAGTGTAATTTTTAAACAAATGATTTAAAAGAATTTCAGATGAACTTTATACTTTCATGTCTGATTTAACTTACCATTGATATCAATCTTGCTAATTTTCCTTTACTGGATGAAAAATACTAAGGCTTTCAACTTCTGTCTTCCGCATTTTGTTCTACTAAGCATTAGAAGCAAGAAACTGATTTCTTTTGTAATATGGGATAATCTCTCAACATGGCTTGAAAATAGTCTATTTGTTAAAGCTTCACATGTGACTCTCATCCACAACTAGGGTTGTTGACATTGAGTTAGAGAATTCTATTAGCTAAGTATGTTTTTTTTAATTAGGAGGAGTGCAGAATGGTGCTTCAGCAACTATTTATCTTCATACAGATGAAGTATGAACAATGGTAACAAAGCAAGCAAAATGTAGCTAGCTAAGCACCTAGTGAGGTTTTTCATTTGCTGCGTGGACATCTTAATAAATTAGACAGCAAAGAATCATTAATGTGGTAATCATTCAAAATAATATTTCTACATACTGGCTACATCTCACAAGTAAAATAGATTATCTTAGTGCTCTTGGCTATAAATTTTTTTGATATAATTGCAAAACTTATATTAATCAGAACTAGACTAGTATAATCAGAGTGGCCCATCTTCTATTTAGTATCTCAAAAAGTTAGAAATATCATTTTAGAGACACTATTAATAACGTTATACCTTTCTATGAGACCGCTAAGAGCAATTATATTTTTGATGATAGATGAGATGTTCTAAGGACAGCAAATTAAAGTGTTTAAAATTGCAACTAGATGCCTGGCAGATAATCATGTTAATTATCTGGTAACTTATATATCAAGCCTAACAATTTATTTCTGAACTCATATATATACCTGTGTGTATGTAACAAATGTAAAGTAACCTCCGTAGTACTTTCTCTTAAAAATCAGCAAACAGCTGATAGGCTATTAACTCCATGGTCCTGATATTCAATATTGCAGTATACGTGTTCATAGGTCAGATAGATAATTAAGGCTACTTAGTAGTTATTAAAATAAGTGGACCAAGAGAAAATATGAGTCAGGGAACTTAGTATTAATCTCACTAGATTTGTTTGCTTTTTTGAAAATCTACTCAAGGGTTTGTAGAGGAGTATTCCTTATACTTCTTTAACAGAGAGACTTTAGTGTAAAAACAATGACAATAAAAACCCCCAAATGAAGATTGGAACACCCCATTGTACTGTAGTGTAGTCATCACTAGTAATTCAAAGTATAATTATTAGAATTGCTGGGTTTGGGAAGAAAGATTTTTGCTAAAACGTACTTTTATTTTGTAAACAGCAAGTTATTAATATATGCTGAAGACGTAAGAGAAGATATTCTATCACTTTTGGAAACATAGCCACTTATAAAACACTTGCCTGCCATCAGAATAGGAAGCCTTGTGGCTTATAAATCCAGACTGTCTACAGAGAATTATTGTTGGACCGCATTGTATAGGAGGTCAAGGAACAAATAAAATTCTTATTTAACAAGCTTGGGGAAAATGACTCTTGATGTTTACCCATGTATCTGATCCAAAGACTAGTAGATTTTTCCATCATTTATTCATCAGTGCAAGCAGTATTAAGCATTTCCTATGTGAACGTACTGCCTTCATGTGATTTATAAGTCAAAGCTATTCCAGAGAGACTGTGTACTAGAAGAGATACTGAGGGGGAGATGGTGAGTAAACTGAAGATAAGTTACTAGGAACATTTAAGGCCTCCAAACTGCCTGAGTCCCAATTGTGATCATGCCACATCTGAAAGTTTGTGCCCCTTCCTGCTGCCAGTTTATTAATGATCTAGCTTTTTGTGGGTGTTCTATCCTTTGTTTATTCAATTAGATTTAACAACCCTATACCTGCTCTGCACAAGGCAGTCAGTGTATGATAGGACCTTCATTAATCTGGAAACGGTCTGCTTCTATACTGTGGTGGGTGTTACTGGATATAGAGCAGTCATTCTACTAACTCAGTGACTAGTTTTTTAAGCTAGGGCCGTGGGGCAGTGCCATATTGCTTTCTCTGGGGAACAGTTGTCCACTGTTGATGGGCATCCTTACCCATGAGAGGTGTTAGAGGGAATAGCGGGCTAGGAACGACATCTGGGATGTTACCGTCTTCTTTAGAAAGACTCCCTTATTCATCAGCTTGTTTTCTCCATGAGTATCATCCTTTTAATGTTCAGTAGAGAAAAATCACCTTCCAGAGGGTAGGGGATGGCTGTCATTTGCAAAAAGTATGACTATCCTCATGGCTTCTGAGGAGATGAGAAAGAGCTAGGATCAATGAAGAAAGGCATGGACTCAAAGCCAGTCAGCGCAAAGCACATTTGTGATGAAGTGCTAGAGGATTCTTGCCATTTGCATTGAACATCTGCTTTTGAGCTTCCATTTTGGTTATGTAAACATACCAGAACAAGTTACCTTGGGTGGAATCTCAAATCAGATTACTTTTGGGGATAGGAGATGCCAGAACAGCCCAATATAAGGATATGAATAGGCATCTCAGGTGAGAAATCTGGGTCACTTACTTTTTTCCCCATTAAAAACCTGCATTCTTGTTATTTACATGGGCTTTCTTCTCCCTTTCTCCATTCCTCTTTGTATCTGGTATCTCTTCCCTTGATTCTTCCTTCTTTCCCAGGTGTGTTTGATAACTGCTCCCACACTGTCAGTGACAAAGGCTGGGCCCTGGGAATCCGCTCAGGGAAGGACAAGGGAAAGCGGGATGCTCGCTTCTTCTTCTCCCTCCGTACCGACCGCATGAAGAAAGCCACCATCTTGATTAGCCACAGTCGCTACCAACCAGGCACATGGACCCACCTGGCAGCCACTTACGATGGACAGCGTATGGCTCTGTATGTGGATGGCACTCAGGTGGCTAGCAGTCTTGGCCAGTCTGGTCCACTGAACAGCCCCTTCATGGCATCCTGCCGCTGTTTGCTCCTTGGGGGAGACAGATCTGAAGATAGACACTATTTCCGTGGACACCTGGGCACACTGGTTTTCTGGTCAACCGCCCTCCCACAAAGCCATTTTCAAAACAGTTCTCAGCATTCAAGTGGGGAGGAGGAGATGACTGACTTGGTCCTGACAGCGAGTTTTGAGCCTCTGAACACAGAATGGGTTCCCTTTAGAGACGAGAAATACCCACGACTTGAGATTCTCCAGGGCTTTGAGCCAGAGCCTGAGATTCTGTCGCCTTTGCAGCCCCCACTCTGTGGGCAAACGGTTTGTGACAATGTGGAATTAATCTCCCAATACAATGGATACTGGCCCCTTCGGGGAGAGAAGGTGATACGCTACCAGGTCGTGAACATCTGTGATGATGAGGGCCTAAACCCCATTGTGAGTGAGGAGCAGATTCGTCTGCAGCACGAGGCACTGAATGAGGCCTTCAACCGCTACAACATCAGCTGGCAGGTGAGCGTCCACCAGGTCCACAATTCTACCCTGCGACACCGGGTTGTGCTTGTAAACTGTGAGCCCAGCAAGATTGGAAATGACCATTGCGACCCCGAGTGTGAGCACCCACTCACAGGCTATGATGGGGGTGACTGCCGCCGGCAGGGCCGCTGCTACTCCTGGAACCGCAGGGATGGGCTCTGTCATGCTGAGTGCAACAACATGCTGAACGACTTTGATGATGGGGACTGCTGCGACCCCCAGGTGGCCGATGTGCGCAAGACCTGCTTTGACCCTGACTCACCCAAGAGGTAAGGGATTGGGTTTGGGGTGGCCTACTTGTAGGGTGCATTTTTAACATCATTTTATCCTTTGGTTTTGGAGACAAACATTCACACAGTCCCTGAATAAAACATTAATCCACCCCATCAGACAGTATTAATCTGTTGTGAAATGCTAGGTGTTCTGTTATGTAATTAGGGACACAGATGACTAAGACAAGAGACAGCCCTTACAGAACTCACTATTTGTGGGGCAGAAAGTTGTGTACACAGTGCGAAGTGCGCCCGAAGGCGTATGCACCAGGTACTTGGGCACAGAGAAACTGAACAACTTAATTTACCAGAGGAGGCCAGGAAATCTTCATGGAGAACAAACAAGGTATCTAGGCATAGAAATCAGTCAGTACTAATTACACATGATGATACTTCCTATTGTCTTAGGATCTTGGCAAAGTAATATAAATCTGTGATAAGGCCTTAGGTCTGTTTGAGCAGTTCAGCAGTTTCGTAAAGACAAGACATGCTGCATCTAGCCACTAGTCTTTTTTAGGTGACTGGGATCTTTCACTGTTGCCCCATTAAATTCCATTCTTCATGTAGCATCCAGAAGGATCTTTTGAAAAAGATAAGTCAGATCCTGTCATTTCCCTTCTTAAGATTTTTGCCTCCACTGAACTCAGAATAAAATCTAAACCCTACCTGACACACGGGCTCTTAATGCAATCTGGCCCCTGTCTACCTCTCCATCTCACCCCTGACCCCCCAACAGCACAGCCTCACTGACTTGATTCTGTTCCATTGAACAGATGAAGCTTTTTTCCTGTCCCTAGGGCTTTGCATTTGGAGAAATGAGAAATGAGAAACTGGTCTCCTAGTTTATAGTAATGATTCACTGCCCTGTCTGAGACAGCTGTCTTTCAAGGTACCCAGGTATTATTCTCCTCAGAGTTTCCCTTTGTTTTTCTAATTCCTACCACGTTGCTCTTATCTGGGTGTTTATAACTTACTCACTTCACTGCCTGCAGAAGGGAAACTCACTCCTTCTATTTATGGACCCAGTAGTGTTTTGAACCTTTATTCCTAAGTGACTCTCTTACCCCCACATATAAAACCTGCTTTGTGGAATACAAAGGAAATATTTATACTTTATGATAGTTAAAAATACTAAAAGCAAAAAGTGCTCATGGTTTAAAATATCAAATTATATCAAAAGGCAGAAGGAAGAAGAACAGTCCCCTGCCTAACTCTTCCCCATCCTTCTTCACATTCTCTCCTTGTTCCACATAGGTTACTATGTTTATTTTTTTACCTGTTTTTTTTTTTTTTTTTTTTTTTCTGGTAGTTTCCTGTACATCTCCAAATGTTATTTATATTGCTTGGTTCATAAATTTTAAACATGATCCATTGACTTCTTATGATAGAGAACAGACTGTCTTACATTATCTCCTTCCTTGCCCTTGCATTCTTCCATATAATTATTTTACTATGTTTTGTTGAATTAATTGTATGTATTATAGCAGTATGACTGTGAAATGTTATTTGTTGCAGAACAAAGTACTAGTCTATTGTATTTCTTTTCTTGCACAGCTTCTTCCCATCCCCAGCCCAACCTGTGAGTGTCTATTTCCCCCCTTCCTTCTTTTATTCTTTCTTGATATTCTCGATTGTTTTCAAATACTTTATTTTACCGGCTAATTTGTAGATGATATTTATAAACACGTTCCCCTCCTCTGAGCTGTTCTAACACTAAATAAAATTCTTCTTCTTCACCTTTTAAAAAGCATGTTTTTTTTTTTTAAACACTCTCCTAGAGCGCTGCCTTCTAGTTAATTCTATTTTCCTCTTCCAGTCTTGGCCAGTTGTCTTTAGGTCTGCTGCACAGTTGTCATCCTGGGACTTCTCTTCACTGCCTTTTTTGGGTTAGAGCCACTGTGTCCTGAATGACATGAATATCTCTTAATTTACTACCTTATTTTTCTGGAAAGAATCCTCAAGGAAGTTTCTAAGAAAAGATGTTTTAGATAATCTTTTCTGAAAATGCACTTCTTAGAATGTTTTTATTCTGCCTTCATACAAAACTGAAAGTTTGCTTGGTGTAAAATTTTGAATTGAAAAACAGTTTCTCTGAAACTTGTGAAGAAATTTGTTAATTGCTTCTAGCTTCTGTTCTGATAATTGTGTATATTTTTATTGGTATGTGTGTATACATACATACACACATATATGTATGTGTGTGTATATATATAAATATATATTTATATAATGTTTTAGAATCTTATTCTTAGCCTTGTTACTCTAGGGATTTGTAAGATTATTTTTTAGAACTTGCCTTTTATTGTTCTTTTGTTGAACACTATTCAATTTGGACCCTTAAGCCTCTTGTCTCTGGAAAAATCTCTTAAATTATTACTTTGATATTTCTCCATTCAGTTTTCTCTGTCCTCTCTTTGTTATCCCTGATACTCCTGGAGATGAATTTATTGAACTTACTCTCCTGTCTCTTTCCTCTCCTACATTTTCTTTGTTAGTTTATTCCCCCCCCTTTTTTTTGTTTTTCAGATTGTTTTGAGTCTTTCCACTTTTTTTTTTTGAAATGTTCTACTTTTTCATTTTAGTAATCAAACTTTTAAAACCCTTTTATTCTTTGTTTTTAATGTAATCCTTAAAAAACTTTAAGGCAAACATTTTCAAAGATAAAAATGTGATTCATTTGGAATTTTTTGTGTGTGTGTTATATCTGATATATCTGATGCAACTTTTCTTTTTTTATGATTTTTAAAATTCATGACTATCTATGCTGGTGACTTTCCTTGAATGTCTAATGCTTGTTCACAGTAGAAACTATACTTTTAAATCTCTACCTATGATGATCTAAAAATGAATAATTACCTCTGAATTGTCTGTTTTTGAGAAAAGAAATTTAAAGACAGAAACATAGTAGAGGAGAGAGATTTTCTTTCTGCTTAGCTCTCTTATACTTACTTCATCTGTAGGTTTTTCTGCCTTCTCTATCCTATTTTTTGTGCTGAGTTTTTATTATTGAAATATTTTTTATGACTCTTGGCAAGAGCAATATTTTGAAAAATTATTTATTAAGCTTCTATATTGTGTCAGGCATGGAAGGAAGGCAGAGGAACACTTATAAAGACTGTGGAAAGGATAAGTGCTAACAACTTAGAAGAGAAGCTCAGTAATTTTATCTAAATTCCCTATGTTTAAATCCAGGCTGAGGCATTAAAAGCAGAACAAGGGGGATGGCTTTTCTTTACCATGGCTTGAATTGTTTGAAAGGACCTTTGATTCATAGAAATATAGATCTTTGGATTTCCATGTGGTCCTGTGGCTATCTCTGAACTAGATTAGCTTTGTAGATCCTCCCTATTATTACAATTAAATCACAGAGCCCAAGCTCACAATTCCATTATGCTGTGACCCTGAAACTGACAAATGCCTGGCCAGGCATTTACTGAGCAGAGTGCTCCAGGCACAGAGTCTTTCTACTCACAGTGAAAGCACCAAAAGCTCACAGTTTAGGGGTCAGGGGAGAATGGTAGAAAGTGGTGGACAGACCTACAAACAGATCACTAACATTCAAATATAAGGATTGACGTGTGCATAACTCTCCTCACTTCCCAAATACTGTTCAATCTTCCTGCTATGGTTTTAACTTGTCCTCCGAAGTTCGTATGTTAGAAATGTAATCCCTAAAGCAACAGTGTTGAGAGGTGGAAGCTTTAAGAGATGCTTAGGGCCAGGCACAGTGGCTCAAGCCTGTAATCCCAGCACTTTGGGAGGCTGAGGCAGGTGGATCACCTGAGGTCGGGAGTTCAAGACCAGCCTGAGCAACATGGAAAAACCCATCTCTACTAAAAAATACCAAGTTAGCTGGGCATGGTGGCACATGCCTGTTATCTTGTACTCAAGAGGCTGAGGCAGGAGAATCACTTGAACCTGGGAGATAGAGGTTGCCATGAGCCAAGATGTTGCCATGAGCCGAGATCATGCCATTGCACTCCAGCCTGGGCAACAAGAGTGAAACTCCATCTAAAAAAAAATGGATTAATGCTGTTATCACAGGAGTGAGTTTCCGTTAAAAGGATGATTTTGCTCATGCCTCCTTTCTTGTACTTCTGTCTTCTGCCATGGGATTATGAAGCAAGAAGACCTTCACTAGATGCAGGCCCCTCGACCTTGGACTTTCCAGCCTCCAGAACAGTAGGAAATAAATCTCTCTTTTTCACAAATTACCCATTCTCATGTATTCTGTTATGGCAGCAAAAAACAGTAAGATGCATTCCCACCACCGCCAGCAAGAAACCAGAAATCTAGCCCAAAGTAGTTCCTCTCCCAGAGGTTCTGAGAAGAAAGAGAGCCTGATGAATCTAGCATCAAACATCTGTAACACAGATGGGCCTATCAAAGGGATAGTACTTATCAGGCTCTGGACTGGTCAGGAGGAGATATGAGTTACAGATACATTACCCAGACAGTTGAACAGACTTAGAAAGATAAAGGAACTTGGAACTAGTCAGGGCTACATAAGCCAGATGTCTATTTCTACATAGTAGCTACCCCAAGAGATAATCTGCAAGAGTTAAGAGAAGGAAGCGTGTCGAGTGTCTACTTCTGTAAAATCACAAATGCCTTTGACTGTTCTCTATGGTACATACTAGGGAGCTGAGCCCAAAGGAATTTCTGTACCCTCAGGGGAACTTGTCTTCCCTGACCTTTGCAGGCTTCAGCTTCTTTTTGGTTATTCATTGTTTCTGTAACATTTCTCCCTAAAATTATGTCTCAGAGATAGGGTTCTTTCTTTGATGCTGTGGCTACTTTCCATCCCATGCTTTCTCCAAATAAAAACAAATTGTTGAACAAGGCATGGATCATCTAGTCTGACCATGCTCTGAAGCAGACAATGGGATACCGTACATTTGTTGTCTGTATTTTTGTTTCTGAAGGCTGCCATGAGCTAACATCTCTATGTGTTGGCAACTCATTGGAGAGTTGAAGGGCAGAGGACTGTTATACAT